AAACCCAGAAAAGTTAAATGATTTGTCTGGGGTCATATACATGGAAAGTGGAAGATTAGGCTTTGAATTCAAGTCTCCTGACTCTAAATCTAAGATTCTTTCTACTGCCCCATACTGCTTACCAGAGCTCCCAGAGCACAGAACTCAACAGAACTTCTCTTAAGATCAAGAACATGCCAGGATTCTGAGCTTCTGCCTCTGGAACTTTCAAACTCTACCCCCAATATCCTTCCCTCAACCTCCACAACCCCATATCTTTTCAGCACACAGAACTCAAAGACAAAGATCTCAGGAGAGCCAATTCTTTTCCCAGCTCTGCCCAGGGTTCACCAGGTTAGCCTTCTTGAGATGTGGTTCCTACTCATCCTATTGTATCCTGCCCAGGTCAAAAGGATGGCCAGATTAAGAGGGAGGAAATTCCAGAGTCACGGACTCTGGCTCAGTGTCCCCAGCACCACTCATACTATTTTTTCCTTTCCAAATCCTCAAGGAGCATCATCTAGGAATCATGTTAAGTTGATCGTAGGAACTGTAATTGCGGTTGTGCTGTGTGCAGCCATCATGGTTGGGAGTATTTTTTGGAAGAAAAAAAGACAAGGTGAGATTTCCTTGAAAAAGAAGTTTTTGTAACCTGCATTACTAATTGGTTTCCCTAATACTCCAAAATTGCAGTGATTATATATATAGTGCCTATACATTCCTTTTCTCATTATCCCCAAATCTATTTTCTCTGTGAAGCCCATCATTCTGATTTGGAGGCCAATATTGGGACCTGTGTCCCCAGGCATCACTCTGAATGGGTCACAGAGTAAATCCGTAAGTTGACTACTCTGTTCAAATAGTTTCTGGGACACACAGTGACCTTGTGTGGTGATATCCTACTGAAAATTGGAGCCCTGCCCCTGGAACCATCCTCCATTCTTTCCCTTGGACAGACTCTTCATTACACATGAGACTTTATTGTCCAGCACAATCTGTCCCAACTTTCCACCCCTGCCTTCCTCCCCACCCTCTTCAGCAGATATTGGAATGGTGAGAGGAGGGGTAATGGCTTCTCTCTCCATTACCATCATCTTTTTCAGTCTCTGAGTTTGTCTTTTCAGATTTCATCCAATACTCTCCCAACAATGTTCAGCAACAGGGTAAGTTTCCAGATTCTGAGTTACCTGGATTGACACTGTAAGGAGGAACTACTGGATTGCTGCACAGTGGAGAAAGGGAATGAAAGAGGCAGAAGGAGGCACTTTGTAGGTAGGGGGACATGAGATCATGGTACCAAGGGCCCTGTTAGACAGTGTTACTGATGGCAGGGGACAGAGTTTTGCTGTCAAGGAGACCTAATTTTAAGTCCTTCCTCTAACACTTATTAATTGTGTGACCCTGGGCAAGTTAATTTAACTTCTCAGTATCTTCAGACAACTAAGGGTATAAATACAGTCCAGTTGCTGATCTGCTGTGGTACAGAGATTCCACCCTGGGAGTTCCATCCAAGTCTGGATCCCTCCCCCAAAAAATGGAATGATCTCTCTTCAGTCACGTCCTCCCAAATAGGGGCAGATTTATCCTCTCTACTCTGCTAATGATGAAACTTAAGGCCTTAAGAAAAGTTCCTTCCAACTCTGCCATTCTCTGACATTGCAATAGCTTTAATTTGTCATTAAAATGTCAGCTGGCCAATGATCACTGGCGGCATAGCCAGCCCATAATACGAATGCTGGAGAATGCTTCTAGAGTTCTTTTCTTCCCCCATCCCTCCAAGGATTCAACATGGGAAGGTCCAGGATATCAGTACTGTGAGAACGCATTATCCTTGCACTTCTAAAGCAGCATGGAATGCATGGAACCAAACCTTGGGCTGCTGTGTAGTGACTCCATACCTGCCTCAGAAGTAAACTGAGGGACATAGCTGTTCCAGGATCACAGCCTCTCACAAAAGGACTCACAATGCATTTCAGAGCCTCAGACAGAGGAAGAAAGCTGTCCAAAATTGGAATCGGCTTCCTCAAGAGGTGATGAATTTGCAATCATTCAAAATCTTCAAGTATAGGCTGAGGACCATTTGTTGGAGATGCTATAAAGGACTTTTTTTATTCAGGTACAAGTAGGACTAAATGATCTGCAGTGTAGTAGATAGGGACCTGGATGTGGAGTCAGGGAGACGTGGGTACAAACCCAACTCAAACACTTACTAGTTGTTTGACCATGAGAAAATCAACCTCTCTGTGCCTTAGTTATCTCATCTGTAAAATGAGGGGAGTTGGCCTTGATGGCCCTTCCAGCTCAAAATCTATGATCTTGTGACCTCTGAAGTTCCTTCCCACTCTGAGATTCAGTGAATGCACCAGCTCTTGGAAATATAAGGGAGCGGATAAGGGATGGAAATTTATAGGGGAATATTCTGCCTCCAATTTGAATATAGTCAATAAGCACAGACCCTGTCCCCTAATGTTTAAAATAGAACCAAAAGAGATCCACCTGGTGTCCACTCACCATGAACCACCACCTATCCAGGCCACTATCCTGGAGGGCAGAGAGCTGGTAACTCTATCCCAAGTCACATGTGGAAAGTCACTTGAGAAGCATTTGGAAATGATAGGCACACAGCTCATGGGCTGACCCTGAGTCAGTTATGTAATAGTGTGGAAATTATTCTTCTTTATGTCAGGAGAAATACATCACATAAGAACCACAGGGCTCTATTCCACTGTACTCAGAACTAGTCATGTTCGGCTCAGGGCCTCATATGTCTATGTCTAGCCTTCACAACTAAAAAGAAATGAGAACTTAGAGAGAAAAAATGTATTTGGATTTCTGCAAGCCTTTTGACAGTCTCTCACAAAATCCTTGAATATAAAATGGAGAAATATAGACTGGATGATAGAACATTCATGTGGGTTTGTAGCTAATTGAATGACAGTACCCTAAGAGATCAACAGATAGAAATTAAATGAGGGACATGTGCCAAGATTCTATCTTTGGCTATGTTCTCTTCAACATTTTTATCAATAATTTCGGTGAAGTCATAGATGGCACATTTATCAAACTTTTGTTGCAGTCATGTCTGATTCTTCTTGAACCCATTTGGGGTCTTCTTGGCAAAGATACTGCAGTGGTTTGCCATTTCCTTCTCCAGCTCATCTTACGGATGAGGAAATTGAGGCAAACAGGGTTAAATGAGTTACCTAGGGTCACATAGCTAGTAAATGTATGAGGCCAGATTTGAACCCAGGAAAATGAGTCCTCCTGAGTCCAGGGCTGGCACTCTATCCACTGTGCCCCTTGTCAGACTTACAGATGGTGTATGTAGCACCTAAAGGTTTACAAAGTACTTTCCTCACAATAGATCTATGAGGCAAGTTGTACAAGTATTATTATCATCTGTTTCACTTATGGGGAAACTGAGGCATAGAGAAATTAAGTGACTTGCCCAGCATCATGTCAGAGCCAGGACTTGAATCTAAGTTTCTCTTGACTCTAGACCCAATGTTTTTTGGGCAGGAAGTCTTCAAGGCTATATAGGACATTTGGTTGGCCGGGTCAGGAAGTCTCTATGTTGCTGATCCTGCCCTTTGTGTCAACAGGGGCTGCCACTGAGGGAAACACAGTATATGCACAAGTCAATCATCCATACAGGGTAAGTCTTTTCAGTCATCCAACTGACCCCTCTTGTTGTTTAGTCATTTCAGTTGTGTCCAACTCTCTGTAACCAACCCATTTAGGGTTTTCTTGGCAAAGATGTGGGAGAGGTTTTCCATTTCCATCTCCAGCTCCTCCAGATGAGGAAACTGGGGCAAACAGTGCCAAGTGATTTATCCAGGGTCATACAGCTTACAAGTATCTGAGACCATATTTGAACTCAGGTCCTCCTAACTCTAGGGCTGTTGACCCATCTACTGCCTCACTGTCCTATCTCTTACCAAAACCATATTACCAATCTGGCTAACTCACAAGAAAAACAAAGCATTATCCAAGGGCTCCTAGACCATGCATATCAGACTATAAAGTCATATGAGACCATTGCAGCCTACCCTGATCCCTCCTCAGACTTCCCATAGAGTTTCTCATTTGTACCGCATAGTTTTATACATAATAATATGCTTCCTTCTGGAATTTCCTTGACTGTTGCATAAGCACTAGTCTCTTCTCCCAACTGCAATGAGGGCAGAGGTACCTTCTTCTCCTTCAAGTCCATACCATGCCACTTACTAGCTATGTGACTGCCGGCAAGTCATTTAATCTGGTTAGGTCTCCATTTCTTCCTACAAAATGAAGAGCTTGTAGAAGTCAGCCTCTGAGGTCCCTCCAAGGTTTCGAGATAGAGGATCCTAAGATTCTATGCTCTCTGAGGCTCTTTCCAGTTTTGATATTCCATGAATCTGTTGTTCTTTTGTCTTCCACAATAGCTGGCACAGTGCTAAGTACACATAACACATGTTTAATGACTCCTTCTATTCAAATTAACGTTGTTCTTGTTGTTCAATTGTGTCTGACTCTTCATGACCTCATTTGGGGTTTTCTTGGCAAAGATACTGGAGTGGTTCGCCATTTCCTGTTCCAGCTTATTTTACAGATGAGGAAACTGAGGCAATCAGGGTTAAGTGACTTGCCCAGGTTCACACAGTTACTAAGTGCTTGAGTCCTAATTTGAACTCAGGTCCTCCTGACTCCAGGACCAGTGTTCCATCCACTGTGCTACCTAGCTGCCAAGCACATATTACATGCCTCGTATGTGACTATTATTGCAGGTCTTTAAGTGTATACTGTATGTTAATTTGTTGGGGATACTGGAGAGAGAGGTGAGGGGTGTTATTCAAGTACAGGATGGTTTTTTAAAACCCTCAAAAACATCCCTAGCAAATGTTCATCCAGCCTACTCTTGAAGAATCCAATGACAGGGAATTCACCTCTTGAGGCAAGTTGGTCCTATGCACTCACCTAGCCTAGGAATCCAAAGACAAAAAAAAAAAAGTTCCAAGTTGCTTACAATCTACTCCAAATCAAATTGAATGACTTTTGAGAGAAAACAAAAGAGTGAGAGTTTATGATCAGTCCAAAGTCAGGGGGGCTATTGTCCAACTGATTTGAAGGTTTTACATAGGTAAGATAGGAGAGCTCAGAGCCAATATGAGGAAGAGAAGGAGAAAAGATATTCCTAACACTAACAGCCTACAGCCCCCACTGCACGCAGATGGTCTTGGCCTTGCATCATGTATGCCTTATCCCCATTTATTAAGTACCTGCAGGTGACTCCTAGTCCCTAAATATCATTGTAATCCTTCAAAGCCAGCTTCCAATCACTTCCTAGAGGATGTAGGCACTGTCCAAGCTTCTCCTCTACCCCCTTTAAAAAAGCCTATTATTTTTCTTCCTGTGGTGCCAGGGTCTTAACTAGAAATTCTGGGTTTCCAAGTTTCTTTATTTAAACTACGAAATAAACAGCTTGCTCCTGCTTGTGAAGAAAAAGAAAGGAAACCACCAATATAGATTATTTCACATTTTTCCCCTTTCACCAAGAAAACAGAAATGCTTGAGTATCATAGAATCATAGATTTAAGGCTAGAAGGGACCTTAGAAATCATCTAATCCAACCCCTTCAATTTATAGATGAGGAAATTAAGGAATTGATACCCAACAACCCAAACAGTAAGTGCCAACCAGAAAGTTTAGAGGGTTTAGTTTAGTAGGGATTATATGGAAATGGAGTATTCTGGGGCCTCAGGACATTGATTATTTTCTTGTTGCCAGTGATATATATGTACTATTTTAAACAGAAGTTGAAACTAAGTAGCTGCAGCCCCTCTACTACAACTTGCAGACAGTTATCTTTAGGGTATGATCACCCAGGACCAGAAGTTCCTTCTAGAATCTATCAGGGACCAGGTATCTGGAATTGCAGGGAATTTTCTGGAAAGTGAAAAGCAGATACTGCCTCCAGCTAAAAAGACCTGAGGTATCCGTGAAATGCTTGCAGTATATATTTAATAAATGTCTGATGAATGGATGAATTAATACAATCTGCCTAAGTAAAATCAGTTCCTAGAATCATTTTAAAAATAGATTTGTATTAATATATTTTTATTTTACATCATCTAGATCATCCCCTGCATACTTTTCTCCTCTCTAAGAGACATCCCCTGTAACAAAGAATTTATTTTAAGTGGAAAGAAAAGAAAAAATCTTCAGCAAGACCACTCAATACATTGGGAAAAATCGACATGTACAGTATTCCACACCAATAAGTTGCCCTCACACACACAACACACACACACACACACACACACACACACACACACACCCTTCCATATATGAAGTGAAGGATAGGGAGTGGAGGGAATGTCTTCTCAAGTCTTTTCTTTGGAACCCAGATCATTTTTTATAATTTGGCAACATTCATTTTCAAGTGTTTTGTGGTTCAGCAAGCATTTACTACAATTACCACATGCCAGGGGAGTTAGGTGGTACAGTGGATAGAGCACTAGGCTTGGAATCAGGAACAGTCATCTTCATGAGTTTAAATCCAACCTCAGGCACTTGCTAGCTGTGTGATCTTAAGCAAGTCACTTAACCCAGTTTGCCTCAGTTCCTCATCTGTAAAAATGACCTAGAGAAGGAAATGGCAAGCATTCCTATATCTTTGCCAAGACAAACCCCTAATGGGGTTATGAAGAATCAGACACAACTGAACAACAACAACATGTGCCAGGGGTTGTGCTAAGTGCAGAGAATACAAAGAAAGGTACAAACACCCCTCGGGCAGTTAATAGTCTAACGGAGGGGACAACATATAAACAAGTTTATACAAACCACATAGAGTGGTTGGAAGGTATCCTTAGAGGGGAGAATATGGGGACTTAGGAAGAGCATGTCCTTCTATATAGACCCTTTAGGCATTTTATTACTTAACAGTGATATTTCTTCCCAATTAAAGAGCTTAAATGATGTTCATCAAGGAGCTATGTTTTCTTCAGTGTGTAAATTCCTTCCACCTACCCTTCTATAGTTTAGTATATAAGTCTTAAACAGACGCTCAAGGCCAAAAAAAGGTTGTAACTTTCCCAAGATCACCAAATAGGAGGAGGCAGGATTTAAGCTGTTATATCAAACATCATGGCCACCACAGCTGCCTCTCTAGAATCGTATTCATTTTAAACAGATTTCACCTGGATGGAAATGTTGAATAATTGGATGATAGGGAATTCAACGTTTCTTGAGGCAACTTGATCCTAGGCACTGAACTAGCCTAGGGAAGAGGAAGGAATACCTAGTACTTGGAAAGGGAAAGGCCAAGAATAGATAGGTTTACTACAGCCCATTTAGCCTCTCATCCTCCCTCATGTTCTACATGTGCTGATTTCATGTAGTACATATTCATTCATTCATTCATTCACTCATCCACAAGACACCAGTTACACATAATGGGCCTACTAGGTACAGAAACTGGAAAAGGTAAAATCCAGTCCAAACCAGCAATATTAAGGACCTACTATGCCCCAAAGTACCAGCATAACAAAGGCAAAATAGAAAAATAGCCTTTGCCTTCCAGGAGCTTTCTTTCTTTCTCCCTCTTTCAGGGGGGACATACCAAATAAACAAAGGATTGTTACATATACACACCATCATTTGAGGAGGTGGATGAAAACCCTAACAAGTAGGATCCTAGATCACAGGGGATAAGGAACTAATGGGATTAGGAAATCTAATGTACTTGCCACTACACCCATGCTGCCTCTCTTCCTCCCACCACGAACTCCTTGTTCTCTGCTGTTCATCCTTTTACTGACCCATCGTGGCTATTTATTGGAGGCATTTCATTTCCTTCTCCATTCCTGATCCTTCAAGGGCTTATGATATTTAAAACTCAAGAAATTCTGAGCTCCATTAGATCACATAGACTAAGGTCTGGAACATGACACCTCCCACTGACTCAAACTATTCCCCACTTTTGTCATACTACACACCCTAGGGTCTTGAATCTATATGTAAATGCCACTGCCACCTTATTCCTTATAACCTAAAAAGACTTTTTTTTTTACAGAAAAAGACTGAAAAACCTAATATTCCAGACAAAAAGGATTCTATCACAACTTACTCTACCGTCCAGTCAACTAAAGAGGTATGTACTAGACTGTCTCATTCTCTGAGTTCTGTTATTCTCATATAATTTGGAGGAGGGTCAGGAAAAGAAACTTTACAAGCCATGGCAGGGAGATAACCGTTGATTAACAGCTTTCCTCTATCAGCCAAATGATTTCTGAATATAAATAACGGAGAAAAAGTGGAAGAGAGTCAATCCGCCCTGCAGCTGAACTAGAAGATAGAGCAGGGGTTTCTAAACTGTCATAGTCCTTAAGGGAGAGTAGCTTCTCATTTTATGTTCTGAGAAACCAAGGAATGGTGATGGTGGAGGGATGGAGATAACTGCTCATTTTGCACTGAAATGGAAGCTATTTTTAAAATGAAGTCACTTGTGTCAAAAGAGGAAATATACAGGGTTCTTCTGAGTTTGCATCCATAATTCCTTGCAGCTATTCATCCTTGATTTTTGAAAACAAAGGTCTTCAAGGGAAAGTCTTGGGTACAAGTGGAAAGCAAGTCAGCTTGAGCTTTGGGATTATATACTCCCACTTCCAATTGTCTTCTTATAAATTCATTGATTCATGCCTGATCTAGGGTCTCTTACACAAACTGTATAACCATTAGCAAAATACTTAATTTCCCTGAGCCTTAATTCCCTCATATGAAAACTAGGTACAATAATACCTGCTTTACAAGATAAAGATCAAGCACTATATAAATGTCAATTGTTCCTGTAGAGCTATTATTATCATCATTGCTAATTATTATTATTACTATTATCATGTATCTCATTCCCAGAAGCCCTTTCTCTATCATAATCTCCCAAAGGCTTTAGCTTCTTAGTAGCCTATGCATTTTAGTAGAGGACACTCAGGATATGAATACATCTAATAATGGAGCATCAGACTCATAGGAGGTGTTAAAAGAAATGCTTTGGAACAGAGGCATTCCTCAAATAAGACCACCAAAGGTGGTTTACCTACTAATTACATTCAGTCCCATCCGTTCTTGCAATAATAGTTTACATTTATATAGCACTTTATAGTTATAAAATTACTACCACAATGCTTCATCATGGCATGAAGGTGACCCTTGGTTTTTCATGGTTATGCCACTGAAGCAAATTCTGCCCAAAGGATTATAGACTGCTCAGAAGACTCACACTTATATACCACGAATATCTCCTTCAAGAGAGGAGGTGGAAGGAGACAAACATGGCAAACACAATACAACATTACAAAAGAAATTAAATCAACCATATCTTGAAAGACAAGAAGTGATTGGTTACCGCTTTGGAAGTTATTTCTGGATCAGTTGTCTGCCTATAGTCAGACTATCAACTTGTTAATGCAAGTGTCAGAATCACTACTAAATTAGAAGAAAGGATAGAGAAGATCATATGAGGAGCAATTAGAACAGATCCAAACTATTGTGCCACAAAATGGAAAATAGATAGGAAAAACAAATGTAAACAAATATTATCACCATTTCCCACATATATTTAGAGCTAGAAGAGACCTTAGAGGCCATAGACACTTCCAACCCTGCATTTTACAAATGTGGAAACGGAAGTGCAGAGAGATTACGTGACTTGTCCAAGAGCATCCAGGTGATAAGTGACAGGCAGGATTTGAACCCAGGTCTTCTGATTCCAAAACAAGTGTTTTTTCCACAGTGTCTTCCTGCCTCTTGAAGCTTTATTGAGCCAGCTACATACTAAGTGTAACTTCTTCCACTTGCTAAAAAGAAAAAAAGTAATCTTAAGTACTATGGCTTTCTTTAACAACAAAGTTCTCCTGAAGTATACGCTGCCTTGTGTCCTTCAGTAATTAAGTCCTTCTACTACCAGCACATGTGTGTGTACACACACATACACATGCACACACACAAATATGTGTGTGTATAGTGAATTCTTTATGGCCTCTATGACTATATGATACCCACCCATGATTCTAGGGATACCCTTTAAAGGTTGAGAGATCTTATTCCAATGCCATTGGCTTGGGTCCCCATTCCCATTGTGTTCCCCCCATGATGTTCAGTGACTAGTGCTCCAATTCCATTTAACCAAAAAACATTAATTAGCTTTTCTAAACAATCATTTTCTTCAAGATAGAGGCAAGAACAGAAGTACAAAAATTCTTCCCAAACACCACCAGAGAAACACACTTCCTATAGCACCTTGGTATCTGGGGAGAGTAGGCTTAGACAGTGCAGTTTTGCATCATTTTAGTCCCACCAAGTTCACATTACCATCACTGCTGGCCTATTATAGAAAGGATTTTCACTGGACAAGATGGTCTCTGAAGGGCAGCTAGGTGGCACAGTGGATAGAGCACCAGCCCTGAAGTCGGGAGGACCTGAGTTCAAAACCAACCTCGGACCAAACACTTGATACTTACTAGCTGTGTGACCCTGGACAGGTCACTTAACCCCAATTGCCTGGAAAAAAAAAAAGATGGTCTCTGAGCTTATGATTTTATGATTCTGAATTTATGATTCCATCATGCTGAAAACTAGATAATTTGGAATCACAGTATACTCTTACATAAACTCATCTGCAGAAAAATATGAAAAGAATGATAGAAGCTTTTAGACAGCATCATTTCATAAAATAGCAAAGAGTAGTGATGGAAAAATCAAATCCATAGAAATTCTGGCATTGGATACATTTAGCCAGATCTTCCCCGGACAACTTAAAGATAAAACTTCAACTAATTTAAAAATTTGAAAAATGGAATGTATCTGTCAGGATTTCTATAACAAATTATTTTCATCATAAATAATGGTGTATGAATAATATTAGAAAACCACATAGCCTCCTTAATGAGATCCACAAGTAGTCAAAAGAGTTTGATCTTATAATCCACATAGCTAAAAGCAAATGAATGAAGGATGTCTATTGTCCAGGCTATAGTATGCAATTTAATTGACCTGTTTAATTAGTCTATAATTCAATGTACATATATACATACTTGTAGACTAAACAAGTCAATTCAACTGCATATTAAACTGCATATTCAATTCTGGGTATTGTTTTGTATGTGTACATGTAAACACACACACATGAATCAAAAAGGAAGCAATACAATAGGATGCAGAAAAATAAGCCATCTGAAAACCAAGGGAGCATCCACAAACTTGGGAATGACTGAACAAAACATGGCACATAAATGTAATGCAATAGCATCCAGCAGTAAGAAATGATGAACGTGGTGGTTTCAAGAAAAACCTTAGAAGACTTATATGAAATGACAAAGAGCAAAATAAGCAGAACCAAGAAAATAATTTATACAATAACAACATTGTAAAGAAAAACAATTTTGAAAGACATGAATTCTGATAAATGCAATAATGACTAACCATGATTAAAAAAGACTGAAGACTAAAAAAGCTACCCACCTCCTAAGAGAGAGCTGATGTCCCCACAGTATAGAATCAAACATACATTTTTGTTGTGGCAAAGTGTGAATTTGTTTTGTGTGACTATAGGCTTCTTTGTTACAAGGATTGTGTTTTTCCCTTTATATTTGGTGGGTGGCAGAGACTTAGGGGAAAGGGGAGCTGATCATAGCACTGACATTTTCAAAACACAGAATGGAATAGAAGTTCAGAGGGAAACAAAAACCAGCAGGACATCTTTAAATACATGTTAAATTTATTACAAATATTTTTAATCAAGCCAGATGTAATGAAGATTCACTGTTTCACACACAATCCTTTTTTCTGTTTCGTATATGGGAATGTATTCTCTTAGTGTGTGTCTGCATGTGCATCCATTAAATTCAGAATAAACAATTTAAAATAAAATTAAAGGTCATGCTTCAGGAAGATTTTAAGTCAATTCAATAAGTCCAGAAGAATTGCTGATGAGGACTAGCTCCTAATAGGTCAAGTAGACTAATGGGCCTATGTAAGAAGTCATGTGGGGCTGGGAGAGCAGAAGCACAGGCAGAGCTAACCAAAACAAGAAAGGAACCTGGGTTCTGAGAGCAAAACTGACTAAGCACAAGGATTGTTGAGTTTATAAGGGTGTTGATGAACTTTTTCCTCATCTCCAATTACAGACCCCAGAGTCATAATCCATAATAGGATGATACTTTTTTCTCCCCTAGAGTTCCCTTATGGAAGCCTGAAGCCTTTTTTTCTGGGCTAGGAAAGGTTGTTTACTTTTGTTCGTTTTGAATGTTTATTTTGTCTTTATAAACATTATAATTATCTACCACTCATACCTGGTAAGTATACCCAATGAAGGTAAACTTATTGGAAATACAGCTATGGGAGGAGGAAACTAAGCACAGAAACATCCTAACAGAAGATGAAGAGGTGTTGTACCAGAAATGGTTTTCTAGCTGGAGGTATAAACAAGCCAGACAGATAGGCAGGCAGGCAAGCAGAGACAGAGAAAGTCAGACAAAGAGA